AAAAGTGGGTGAAGGGAGACATCGGACAGGGCAAGATATGACAAAATAATAATTTATAAAGTATCAAGTGCTCACGAGGGAGGGAGTAGCAGGGAGGGAGGGGAAAATTGAGGACCTAATACCAGTGGAGAGGAAATGTTTTGAGAATGATGAGGGCAATGAATGTACAAATGTGCTTTACACAATTGATGTATGTATGGATTGTGATAAAAGTTCTATGAGCCCCTAATAAAAATGATTTAAAAAATAAAAATACAAAAAAAAGTGCATTTAAGGCACGGTATATGGCTAGTGGCATTACATATAGATACTGCTGCTCCAGACAGGCAGAGGCAAGACAAATGGAACAACTGCACCATCATTTAGGTTTCAAAAGCACTTCTGCAAGCCTTTGTTTGTTTGTTTTTCTGTCCCATGAAATAGGTGTATTTACTCTTAAAAGAGGAATGAAGCTGAGGCTGAGAGGTTAAATCAATGGTTTCCAAGTTTGCAGAGCTAGTAGAGGTAGAGGCTTACTCTAACCCCTGACCTTTGGATTCCAAAACTCCACTCACCCCACTCTGTCTACATATGTGTTTTGGTGTAACGCCAACTCATTAGAAAATCTGTAGGACAGAGGAAAACTGCCTCACAGGGTTCTCGAGGCTGAAATATTTGTGGGAGCAGACCACCAGCCCACTGCTCTCAAAGAGCCTCTGGGCAAGTTCCAATCACAGTCCACAAGCAGCTGAGCACTTTAACCTTGCACCACCAGGCTTGCTGCTCACTTACCTTGTCATCAGACAGTTATTGGGTCTCTGATACCAGGTGCCTGCCTAGATACAGGAAATCTAGACAGTCATCTTGGCTGTCTCCCTGCCCTCGGCTCCTGGTTATACATGCAAAAATTGTTAAATTGGAAAATGTTTTGTTACATATATATATATACATTTATTATCTATATTGTTACAACAACAACAAAAACTTTTTTAAAGCACAGGCAGGCCTCATCTTTGGATGGGAATTCCTAGTACATGACGCAATTGCACCAATAAGAGTATGGGTATAAACATCACTTTAAGTGATTTCCTTCCAAGTAGCTGAAAGCACTTTGTTTTAAATACTATCTATACCTAATGACTCCAATATGTACACTTTAGGTCCCAAACTGTTACACCCACCTAGGTGTAACCCCCTTTCTGGCCAGAAACTCGAACCTCTGAGCATGTGCCATGGACACCCCCAGTCCCTATGGTAGTTACCTAACACAACCTCTGCCCAGGGCTCCTAGTGTATATACCCAACAGCCTATTCAACATCTCCACTTGATTATCAAATGAACTTCTCAACTGAAATTATAATTCCTCCCCAACCATGCCAAACCAAAAACCCATTGCCATTGAGGGGATTTTGACTCAAAACAACCCAATGGGGTGGGGTAATATGACCCTGTAAGGTTTCCAAGGCTAAAATATGTACACAGTAGATGGCCACATCTTAGTGTTTATCAGCTGAGCACTTCACCATTATACCAAATCTGCTTCGTTTTATCTTGGCAAATGGCAATTCCATTCTAGTTTATAGACACCACCCCCGCCCCCAAACTTAGGTCATGCTCTGGCTTCCACACCCTCCATCTGATTTCTAAGCAAACATTGATAGTTCTACCTTCAAAGAGTATTTAGCACGCTCACAACCTCCTTTACTGCCACCCTAGACCATCACCATCACATCTAAGTGGACTGTTGCTATCGGCTCCTGACTCATCTCTTCTGCTCCCTCCTCCCATGCTGTTTCTCACACAGCAGTCAGAGGGATCTTTTGAAACCTTGAGCTAGATCATGTCTCCTCTCAGCTTAAAACCTTCAGTGGATTCTCCAATCCTTACATTAATTCATAAGGCCCTCTAAGAGCTGGCCTTTGATACTTCTCTGACCTCACTTCCTACCACTCTCCTCTTTCCTTCTCTGGGTCAGCCACACCAAGTCTTCCTGGTCATCCCCTTCCTCAAAGTCACTCATAATTCACTTCCCTAACTTCCCTTGTGTTTCCTGATCAAATGTCCCCTTATCATTTGGGCACTTCCCATCCCCTTATTGTGTTTCAATTTTTCTCATAACACTGACCGCCTGATTCATCTCCTGGCATTTAATATGTTTGCTGACTCTTGCTCTCCTTTCACTAGAGTGTGGGGTTAGTGAAGAAACACCCATGTCATTGAAATGGCACATAAACAATAGATAACTTCTTAGTATCTGCCCTAGATATTTCGTGAGACATACTACCGTGTTTCCCCTAAAGACATCCCCGAAAATAAGACCTACTTACAGTTTTGCCTCTCACTGAAATATGAAGCACCTCCAAAAATAAGACCTCCCTGATAATAAGGCCTCCCCTGAAAATAAGGCCTCCCCAATAATAAGACCCCCCGAAGCTACTGTAACTCTGGACTCTGGACCGTAGCGGCAGTACTGCCGTGCAGCTCACTGTTGACCGCAGCGCATCCGGAGCAGACAGGAAGTGCAAGGTTTCTTTTAATCAGAGAGCCCACACCACTGCCCGGACAAGCTGCCACCTGCTGCTCATTCTGCCCTGACGGAGTCTGGCTGACTCACAATTAGATAGTGAGTCACACGGGGCAGGAGTCGGGCACACTGTGTGGACACACGGGTGACTGAGGTAGTGGGGAAATGTCTGATAAAGGGCAAGAAGGAAAAGATTGAACGTGTTTGGGGAATTTTTATTCTTGAAACTGAAAAAGCCTGGGCCACACAAGCAGTTATACGGAAGTGGGTTGATTTAATGTTGCCGCTTGTTATACGAAGGAGCCAAAGAGGTATGCTAGTCTGGGATGCAGCCAGCACTCACCGCGCTAAAGACATGAAGACATTTCTTCACGTAAGAAAAATAGATCAAATAATGATTTCCGCAGGAAGGATGGCCTATCTCCAGACTCGATATTGCAATAAACAAGCCATTCAAGGACAATTTGCGCATGGAAATTAATGATTACATTGAAAATAGAATGGAGAGAAATCAGTGTGAAAACTTTGTGAAACTTAAGCTGCAAGATGTTGTGACTTGGGTGAAGAATCCATGGGAGAAAATCACTGACAGTTGCATTGCAAATGCACTACGAGGCTACCTTGACAAGAAGTACTCATTTAAGGACAGTGCTATTGCTAAACATGAGAGATTTGGTCCACTGATTCTACGAGAAATGGAATCACAAGAAATTCAGCAGAAAGTTAAGGGTTTGGATTGTTATGATGATGTTCCAGAAGATGATGACATGACTGTCATTGAATAAATGAGCAAATGTACCATAGATTGTTGTACATGGAAATAATGAATACTGGTAGTAACAAGAAATTCTTGATACTGTAGGATTCACAGTTTGTCTGGTTATGCTGGTTTGTGATGACTACTACTACCGTACTGTGTACAGGTAATAAATTTCCTTTTTTGTTGTTCAATAATAAATGTGTACCGTATTCTTCTTCATGGAAAAATAAGACATCCCCTGAAAATAAGACCTAGTGCATCCTTGGGAGCAAAGATTAATATAAAACCCGGTCTTATTTTGGGGGGAAACAGGGTAAGAGGAAAAATTAAAAAGGTCGTTTATCTGAAATTCAAACTTCTGAATGTCCTATATTTTGCTTAATCTGGTACCCTTATGAAGAAAGACAAGGGGACTGAGGTTGTTTTATCTATTGCTGTATCTCCAGTGCTAGAATCAGAATAGTTCCTGGTAAACCCTTTTTTTTTTAAGCTTGAAATCTTCAAGAGATGATGGAATGAATGAACCATGAATGAGTATCCCAAAATTCCAAAATCCCCTGCCATGGGATCAACCTCTACTCATCGTGACCCTACAGGACAGATTAGAACTGTCCCTTGGAGTTTCCGAGACTTTAAATCGTTCAGGAAGCCTACCGCCACATCTTCCGCCAGGAATGTCTACAGTGTTTCAGAAATCTGAAGCGCCTCAACTTTCAATAAACCCTGTGAGTCAGTGGGGTGGAGCCTCTCGCCTGGGGCAGCCCAGCTCACTGCAGGCAGCATATGCAGAGCTTCCCCAGCTGGCCGACAGCTGGTGTTTTGCCTACCCCACCTCCTCTCCAAGAAACAACCAAACCTCGCCTCATCTCCAAGAAACCAAACCCCGCCTCCTCGCGAAGAAACAACCAAAC